TTATGTATAACAATTTTGCATAAAGTCTAGGTGCATGTTCACATGCAACCATTGTAGAGTTTCGTCGTCATAATCATAGAGCTCAACTCGTGCAGCCGGTTTAGGCGATAGAGTCACGCGAGCCCGCCATCAGAGTAAAAACTACTTTTAATGCATCAAGTTTATATTTTCCTTTTATTTGTGGTCATGGTGAAGTGACATAAAAAATTGTTAATATTTCCAGCGCTTGAATTCTTAAAAACAACTGAATCCTTCAATAAAATAGCCACTGGATCGATTTAAAATTTTCTTTAATCCAACTATCCCTTAATATTATTATTTTGTTTGTTTTTTTTTATATAATTAAAGTAACAAACGAATATACAATCAACCTGTAGCTAAGTGGTTACTGCAGTCCATGGACACCTGAAGCCAATTTCAAATAAAGAAAGTTAAAGATCCGTTGTCAACTCTGTGGACTAAGATGGAATGCCTTACATCCTTTAATTATACTGGCTCTTAAAACCAGAACACAACAGCGCAAGCACTGGTATTTCCCCATATATTATTCCCCATCGGTTGTCGGTTCTTCAAGTTATATGGTCGAACTATTGCTATTTTAGCTTACTGATCGCTTACACTATATCGGTTACTATGGTTCTACTGCGGATATCCTTAATATAAAGTCTGTGCTACGCAAAGAAACTCTGATCATAACCCTCTCCATAGCTCACTGAGGGACATTGAGCGTCCTAATACGGCCAACATTAAAAGGAACACGTCATTTATCCATGTCATCACTGGTAACAAGAACTGGTTGTGCACTCTTGTTTTCAAGTTTTGAAGCATACTTAGTTTTTAATCTCTCTTCAATCAGCCGAGTTGTACCCGCCGATTTACCGTTCAATCGGAGTCTTAGGTAAACTTACTCGTCAAAAACTTCGAGCGAAGTGCTTCTAATATCGTCATAGGTGTGACACGAACGTCACACATGACCATTGTTTTGTCCATGTTCATTTAAAGGACTATATATTGTAAGACACTATTGAGGTCATTGTGAGCATAGTGCTGTGGTCTTCCAGCGATTCTGCTGTAATGACTATATCGTCAGCAACTCGAAGGTGAGTGATGTACTTACCATTGATGTTGATACCATATCCTTTCGAGTCCAGGAAGGAAGGAAAATTTTCGGGGTTACGTATTCTGCTCTCCAAACTATTCTCCTCAACAAAGGGGCTGTAACACTGCCAAACTTCGACTGAAACAAAGGCATTCTCATGGTCCACATACGCAAGACAAAGTGGCAGACTGTATTCTATCTATAGTATATTATATCTATATGTAGGTCTAAGGTACTAACGCCTTTTTGGAAACCTGCTTGTTCGAGAGGCTGGAAATCGTCAAGTCTGTGTGCGTGGACTGTGTTCCTGGTGATGAAACAAGTTACCGGATCCCAGGGAAACCGTATCCTCCTGGTGATAAAACAAGTTGCAGATTCTAGGGTAACCGTGTCCTCTTTCTCTATTCGGACTTATCATCGGATCAGATAACCTAAAAAAAATCGGAATATCCCAGCGCAACTTGTCAATCTTTTCTTCCAGCTCCAGCAGGATAGGCGGCTACCCGGCAATATAATGCGCCGGGTATCCGGTAGAAACAGGATCCGGCTCATCTCTAATAGGTATGTATCATCGAAAACATAAATGTGAAAAGGCAAGTTAGGTACAAACAACTTTCGGGGTTGTTAGCTTCGTCGATAAAAGAGTTGAGATCTAAACGGGTACCAAGCTCCATAGTTCCGGTTTAGAAAAAGTATTCTGTGCTCCATAGCAGTTGCTTTAAGTAAAGGATCTATTGGAATGTACGTTTTTGGAACTAGATACATGGAGCTTGGCGCCCGTTCTGATCTCAACTTTTTGGGTGAAGATATATAATTTTTTATGCATTATCCGCTTACCGCTTATCAGTGGGCTGGAGCTTATGCTGAGCGTAGACCTTTATGCTGCGTCGTACAACAACGCTTGCTACAAAAATTATAGCTTTTTACGTAATGAAACTTTACGAAAAAACTTATTTCGTAAAAGTTTCAACTTTCATTTGCGTTGGAAGTTAACACTCACTGTCCAGTTTGCACACACAAAATTAAGACAATAGCAATGACCTATATGTAGTGCACGGTACAGCGAACTGCTAGTAGCATGCAAAATGTAAATTTAATTTGTGTACGGTTTCGTCTCTTATAAATGGTGTACAACAAATAAACAAATAAAGTTTTCTTTATATCTTTTTTTCCTTTCATTTTATCAGTAATTTTTACACTCAGCTTTTTTTTTAGAATTGGCATTCTTAAAAAGCAAAGAAAGAAGACTTGCATAGCTGGAATAATTATTAAGAAAATAATGCATTCATTCCATTGGTCACAACAAAGAGTATATAATTAATCTTGTCACTTGTCTCTATTATTTATCAATACCTATTTTATACCATAGGCTTAGAATATATTGGCGTATTTTATACACTCCTTAATATATTCTAATTGAAGATATAGATTAGAAGGTGGCACGTTTTACTGAATGCACATCGTTAAATTCAACGGCGCATTACATTTACGGCAAAATTATCGAGTTGCCACTTGACAGTTCGTGGGCGAAATGTGCAACGATGTTTTGTATTCGTTAGGAAACGCGTTTAAGGGATAGTTGTGTTAGTTGCGTTTATACGGTAGCTCAAGCGTAAGCGCTCGCGTTAATTTTTGCCGTACGCGAGCTAACCGTGTTCAACCCTGCCGGCACCAATAAAATTAATTGCAATTTTAAACGTTGATTTACCAAGTCCTCGGCGGTGGAGGAAAACATCTTGTGGAATCGTGCATCTCTTAAAAAAATCAGGTTTATATAAAACTAGTTTATAATTATGTGATTGTATCGCGTATATTAACTTATTTTATATTCCCGACATTTCCTATGTTCACGGGGGGGGGGGGGGGGGGGGACTGTGCTGTTAGACACCCCATGTCATAGTTAATCACGGCTACCTCCATATTAAAATTATCTCTCTTACATAGGACACACTAACAGACCAATAAAAACGCGCGTTATAAACACATGGTGATGTGAAAAATCGACGTCCCGGGAAGTCTGCAGTCTGTGAACACGTACAGGATCGCCCTCGTCCTACTATATCAGATTTGATAGACCGTAAATCCTCGCTATAGAACACTGATTCCTTCCAAGGATGACTCGCGAGGCTATTGAAATCAAAAAACATCGTAATTTCAATAGAGAAGATGGCTGGTTGCTACCATCTGCTTGGGATCCTATAATGAATAAAAATAAATCCCAACCCAAGCATACAACTGCTAGACTTGAAGATACTATACTAGTAAGTTCGTACTGTGTAGATTGGATCAAAAATTATTAATATTAATCTGGAGGTAGCTTAGGTTGACTATGACATTGCGACGTCGAACACCTCAGTCCCCCCGTGACTATGGGTGCTGTAAACTGCTCGAAACATTGGGAATATAAAATAAGTTGATATACGCGATAAAATCCGTAAAAACTAGTTTTATTTAAACGTCTAGTGTTCGCGTAAACATAAGAAATCATTAAAAATATCAGATTTTCGAGATCATGTAACAACAGAAATATGGAATCTTTCTGGCCTCATAAAGTTTTCACAGTGAGATGAGACCTGTGTCCAAAAGTTACTTTAGGAAATGTTACATACACCCATAGAAAAACTCTCCGGCGGCGTCGACCATAGCGATTTCTTTACTACGTTATTAACATCTTCATGATATCATTGTTTTTTTCGTGAGGGAATTAGTTTAATGCTGATTCGCTTTACGGGGCAAGTTGTGCCGGGCTCTCACCGACTAAAACTGTACGGTTTGCCTTCTGAGGTAATATGGATATTTCAAATATGGATCGGGGATTCACAAAACTTATGTAACAACATTGAAGGCAGTCTTATATGCAATTATTCTAAGCACAATAAAATTAACACATCCAGACCCTAATCCAGTATTCAAGACCGTATTTAAAGGTGTTCAGGACTTGGGGTAACGAAGAATCGATGCTACGAAATCTATTTTAACAAGATAGTTGTGTTTTACAGTGCTTCGGCAATTAAAATTTATACAATGTGTGATTTTTCATCTTTTGCAACTATTGGTTAGAATTTTGCCAAAAAGAAAACTTATATAGTGAAAGCCCGGCGCTTCAGCCTTTGTTGCCCTCGTTTAAATCCGGCCCTAATTTCCATATCAATAGAAAATACGTATCTCGTAACTACTCACTTTACAGACAAGTTAAGGCTGATCGTTGTCTTTACATTTATTATACTTAATGTTCTCTTTCCTCAATTAAGTAGCATTTTTTCCTAGTTAGGGTATCTTAATGAACAATTACCGTCAACATAAAATAGTTAATTGCCGACTTTACACATACGCTCTTTAACGCGTGCATCGGCTTTCGCGCGGGAAAGTAAAATAGATAAACTGGGCCTAGGCTAAACAAAACAATTAAAATCAAAAGATAGTTCGGATTATCTATTACAGGACGTCGAAAACTTCAGATTCTCCCGTGATTACGGGTGCTGCAAAGTATCGCGATGTTAAGAATTAAAAATAGGTGACATTTAATGCGATAAATACCCTAAAATTAGTTTTATTCGATTTTGTGTCTGTATTAGTCATATGCGTGAAGGCGTGATATTCATATTTATTCAACTGAGTCATTATTAAGTAAATATATCACTTTAGTCTTCAAGAAACCTATTTTTGTGTAGAATAGACTTTTTAATTTTTAACTTCTTTTTATGCACCCTACTTTTATGAAAGTAGGGTGCATAAAAAGTAGTTTTAAATTGTAATATTGCATCACGCCGCATAATCTATACTCACGTTTTTACACTATGAATACGAATATCTAAAAGAATTAATGTCAAACCACTATGATTCTCAACTAAATTTTATTAAATAATAAAAGTTACTGGGTACACAAAATCATAATATACATTTATTCCGAATCATAACCTAATTGTTCTTGAAAAACTTTGGCAGGAGGCTGGAGCATCTTTGTGCGTGCCGCCAACCGCAAAGTGGCAGGGCCTAGATTGGAAGTTGGTGCATAATATGCGGGCGCAGAGCTCGAAGTACCCAGTCCGGCCTTACCCTCGTTGCTCACTAGCGGAATCTGAAAGGAATGTTCGATTATATACTAACTGTGTCCGCAACTTCGTATGCATGGAGTTCGTAATTATGGGTTATATACACACATATACATCGTAGATTGATAAATAATATAAGTTAAATAAAGCAAAATATTCCCCGAAATCCATATTTCATTTAATTTTAAATAAAGTTACGTCCGCATCTTCGTTCGGACAGATCATTGGCGCATGCTACACACTCGATAATTATCACGATATTTAACGTGATTTTTATCTTGCAATATTTTGGATCGAATCTACAAACTACATACTCGATACTAATCGCGTCAGTACAATGGTAGATTTCATTCACTAAAGACGTGTACGTTACATAATCCGAAGCCAGTAACGTAATGAGTGACTATGAAAGTAAAGCTTGCGTTGCTATTATATTAGCGATAGCATTAAAGACGTGTAAATAGAAAAAAAAGGAAACATTGGCTCCATCCATTTTTTTCTCTATAATACACGTCTCTCTCACGTGAATTCTTTCAACTTTTTTTGGTCATTCGTTTGAGGTACGGCTGGCGCCGCCACCGCATCAAGAAGCACGTCCTCCACCATCGCTGACAATGAATACTGACACGATAAATATCGACCAGAGACTAGACACTCGATATTTATTGACGATACTTGATACAGATCGTTGGTATTCTGGATTTTTAGAAATCCAGCGATCCATATCACGATCCGTGATATGCTATACTACACACTCGATAAATATCGTAATCCTAGATTATGATCCAAATATCGTGATAATTATCGAGTGTGTAGCATGCGCCAATGATACGTCTTGATAATGATATTTAATACAAAATAACAAAGAGACCAAAAACAAAGAAAAATTAAAAGTAGTTTTCTTTCGGTAGTCTGTCAGTACAATAACCTATATTATATGTATGTAAGTCTTATTGCTGGACACTGGTATTCTCGTTGTATGAGGGTAATGGAGCAGAACCACTGCTGCTCCATGCTTGTTGGCGTTGTTTCTTTCACCGCCGAGCACGTGGTAAATCAGCACATAAAATAGCATTTTACCGTTTACGAAATTCCAACGGATGTCGAACTCGGCTTACGTACTTTGGAATTAAAGGCCAGCCCATAGCCCCTGATGATGCCGTGTTTGGTATAATGAATGATGAGAACCGGAAACCCTTTTTAATGCATAGACTTAGAATATACTGGCGTATAGACCAATATAGTATGCAAGGGAGAAGAAAATTCCTTATAGCAAAAATGCAAGATAGAAAAGGATACCAAATCTCATGACTCTGTAACCGATTTTGAATGATAGGTCGGCAAAAATCGGCACGCAAGAAATAGCTCCTAGATATTTTGTAATTTTTCAGATTGTAGTAGTGATTATTTTTAGTAAGTAAGTTTTTTCCAAAATAGTTACTTGTTCTGTAAGTGACTGTGGTGTCAATAATAGAAATAATCCTGATAATTGCATTTTTTCACAGGTAAATTCTCAAGACGTCGTCAATGTTATGACGCGTTTATTTTTGGTTAAAATTTATGTTATATACTGTTTAAAATATAGAATGTTTTCAATTATTTTGTTAATTTTGATATTTTGCAAAGAAAAAAGTCACGTTGTTGATAATTTGCAAGAATTTGGTAAATTCATTTTTATACAAAATATTTTACATGTAAGTTAGGGATTGACTCAACTATATCAAAATTAATGTCGATATTTATCTTGAATATTTATAATTAATCGAGAGACTCGTTCCAAAATGTAATTTTATTTAGCCGTTTGTCAAACAGATTCCCTCCGGATTATATAATTAGAAAAAATGGTCAAGGTTAATTGGATGGGTTGGTTGGAATCCAAAGAACTCAACAATTTGCAGCAAACATTTTCTTAAAAAGTATAAAAGAAAAAGTAGAATAAAAACAATTTTATTAAAAGGAGTCGTTTCTACATTATTCGTACCAGGAAGTTATAATAAGACTTCAAAAATTAAACTTTCAAAACTTTAAATAAAAATAGAGACAGATTTTTATACATTACAAAACTGTAGTACATTAAAGATAAAAAAGTCTTGAGATTATCCTCTTTAAGCCATTATGAACCCAACTAAGTATCTATTTATCACCCAAAATAAATGTATAACCTTACTTAACCAACCGCATAGCCTCACGATCACACTAGTACAATATTCATAGCATCACGCTATTTTTCCCAAGAGTTTGAGCGGAGCTTCGAATTATATTCATAAGTAACAATGATAAAACTTTTAGCGTAGCTAGGTATAGATATTTAGTAATGCTCCCGAAGCGCCACTAGACACCCGCGCATGAGACGTGATAGTATAAATTCCATAGTATTTGATACTCACAACTCTCGATGCCCGATTCGTGCTTGGTGGCCGAGATATTGTGCCGAGAGCTTAAATAGCGTGGTCCATTTACGCCTACAGCGTTGATCGTAGAGAAGAAGAACTCGTGATTAAGTAACAGCTGCGCGGATAAATAGATCTGCAAGATTAAGTTGCACTTGCCGCAGTCAGTCCATGAATGAGTGACCATTCTCTTAACATAGCGAGATTGAGAGAATAAAGAGTGCATCTACATCCTCAGACACTTGGTGCCCTTTACTCTGTTAAAATCATTATGTTTCAAAATTCACGCAGCTAAAATGATAACAAGTTTATTAATACTTTATACTTTTCAGGGACAGATTTAAGAATATAAACATGAAGCATGATGAAGCCTCATAAACATATTGGCCTTTAAACAGCAATCTTATTTAACTGATTCCTACAAGTTTACTTACTTAAAGTATTAAGTTTACATTGACATTTAAGTCGTTTAATTATTAAATGTTTGTAATTACATATAAAAGTAATATTTATATGAAAAATAAAGCAGTCATTATCTACTCCGTATCCCCGTTTTTATTTCCCTATGAAAACATTTTATAAAATATAAATTGGTATATACTTAGTTAAGTATCTACCTATTTATATTAATAATATATTAAAAAAGAAATTCCGGGGAAACTTCATGGCAGTAAATATTTTCTCCAAAGATCATAGCTAGAAAATACAACTTTCCGATCTGGTTCTTGAGGAGTGTTTCGAATTTATCGGTAGCCACCTGGGATTTTATACATTTGAATTAAAATCCAACAAAAGGCAGGTAGGTTCAGCTTATTCCCAGGAACATGTTACATGAATATTTTTTAATTATTTTAGAATTATCATGATAAAAATTCAGTAATTTTTTTAAGTTATCAATTTCGTGCACTAAAGAAATTTTTTTTAAATCTTTTTACCGCTTCCTTAACAATCATTTTTCGATAGTCGTTGTAAGTAAAGTGTACATCACTAGCTAACGCACACAATGACAAATCAAAATTAGTCCCGCGTTTTCGGACTGTCAGGTCGTCTATACGCCAGTATATTCTAAGTCAGTATATTCTAAGTCTATTTGACGTATCTGCATTTTAATTCTTAAGGGATGACAGTTATAGATGTCTTTGGGCCACAGCAGTCACCTTTCGTAGGACGACGCCGGACTAAGGCAAATTTCTTAAAACATTCATAAACTTTAAGTACTGTGTTTTCAGAAGAGGAGTTTACAATTTGCATAGGGTTAAGGAAAAAGTATGGACTGATAAATTAAATAAGTAAAATTTATGACAGTATTTAAACACCTATTAACATACTTTTTTAACACTAATTCGCATAAATAATGAAGAAGTACCTAAGTTTACCAAAATATAAAATCGCAAAATAGAGACATATACTCGTATTTATACATGTCTTGGGTGTTACAGGATTTTATGTAAAATATTAACGTATTTATATACACATTTTTGAAAAGAATCAGTGCGCACGTCCGACGCGGTCGAGCTCCAAAACTTAAAGTCTACTGAGTTGACGAACGCCGACCTGTGTAACCGGTCGTTCATTAACTCGCTGGAAGTACTAAATCATCGAGGTATAATATTATATATGGAGGTTTCCTCCTACCCCACTAGATGTCGATACCAATTAAGAACGTAATACCCCCGAGATATATATATAAATATAATGTACGTATTCGTAATGTTTCATCAGCCCATAACTGAGCAACGGTCTCTTCCTAAAATTTCTTTGAGGCATAGTCCTTTATCACCTGCGCGCATTATTTTCTCTTGAAGAGCAAGTACATTATTAATACCGCGTTCATTAAATTGTTCATACATCGTACCGTTACAACGTATGAAATGTATTTTTATCTTATTTATCATTATTACTAAACTAGCGACTCATAAGACGTAGTACGTCAGACCATTTATTTCATATTTTTGTCGTTTTTTTGAAATCCCAGACTTTTTGGATGAAATATAGCCTTCATTCCATTGGTTCGTATGTATATATAGATATATGTATAGATGATGAAAGTAATGATTTTTTTGCTCTTTAAAATGGTTCTTATTTTTTTTTAACTAGAATAGTTAATATTCATTAACCGATAATGAATACTGACCTTAAGAAATGCCATTAATTAACTTCAGTTCAATAGTCCATAATAATCTCTAACAAGAATTGTAAATTATTATTTTTTATATAGAAGTGGTGGCAAACAAGCCTGCGACTCACCTAATGGTAAGTGTCGACCGCCGCCTATGAAAAACAGCAACATCAGGGGAATTGCAGGTGCGTTGCCGGGCTTTTAAAAAGGAGTGAGCTCGTTTTTGAAAAATCCCTAAGTCGTATCGGTCTAGAAAAGTCGCCGACGGTAAACAAGCTAACACTGGGTCTTGTTCAACAAAGACTCTACTTCAGATACAAGTTTGTTTCGGTACTCGGCAACGTTTTCCCAAGAGATATTGGTACGGCCGGTGTATTAAGCATCACCAGTGCTGACGTCCGCATAGCAAAAATATTTCTGATTTGCAACATATCATTGACATTCAGCTTTTGAAATTTTGAAAAGGCGTAGGTATTATAGGCTTGTTATCGGAGCATATACCGTCTACTAGGACCTT